GCTTCTTAGTGCAATAATAAGCTACAGGGACGCTAATCTAACGTCGGTAATATTAACTTTATTTAATACAACATTTACGGTACAAGATTTAATCATACAGCCCATGTAGTATAATATTTTACAAATGATGAATTACAGCAAACATGTGCAATATATCCATTATTACAGCTCCGTGGGCAGTAAGGCAATATGAGTCCGTTCTTATTGTGCATCCATGGGTAAAGAGAAACTCATGTAGTGCTGAACACATAACATGAACGTGCCGGGCGGCGCGGTCCCGTGGGTTAGATGCGCGTTCATAATGCAGAGGGAAATAACTCAGAATAACGTTATTAGCACATTTTTACAACTTGAGGAACGAATGTTTTTAATAAGGGCTATACAAGTGTTCATACTGGGTTGTTTATTTAGTTTAAAAAAAATTATCCAACGAGTTACAGACCACTCTTTCCCCATGTAAGTCAATGGGAAAAAGTGTTTCCGGGCCCAGCAACCTAAAGGAAGTGTAGTACCGCCATTTGGCCACAACGAATATTCTCATCAGACTCCGGCGCACTTCCTGGGGGCTTGGTAAAATGGCCCAACTTTTGAGAGAGTGAAACGTCACAGATTACCCGGCATGCCTGAGAAGTACCTGTATGTGCGCTCATAGCGCATGCGCAACTTTAACCAAAATGCTCGTTCACATGAAGCACGTCAATTTGCGTACACGTAACAGCACCGTGCGTTCATGACAGCATGGTAATGGATTGTTATTATGATGGATTTGATATTAACGAGGCGGCAGTTAGCAGCTAGCTAGTAATTATGCTAATGTACACATCAATCGTTATGTACTTATATTACACTGTAACAGGATCTAGTGATATCCAACAGAGCTTCATTTAGCATGAAAGAGTTATTGCACCGTATATATATATATATATATATATATATATACAGTGCAATAAGCTTCTTAGTGCAATAATAAGCAACAGGGACGTTAATCTAACGTCGGTAATATTAACTTTATGTAATACAACATTTACGGTACAAGATTTAATCATACAGCCCATGTAGTATAATATTTTACAAATGATGAATTACAGCAAACATGTGCAATATATCCATTATTACAGCTCTGTGGGATGGCAGTAAGGCGATATGGGTCCGTTCTTATTGTGCATCCATGGGTAAAGATAAACGCATGTAGTGCTGAACACGTAACATGAAGGTGCCGGGCGGCGCGGTCCCGTGGGTTAGATGCGCGTTCATAATGCAGAGGGAAATAACTCTCAGAATAACGTTATTAGCAAATGTTTACAACTAGAGGAACAAATGTTTTTAATAAGAGCTATACAAGTGTTCATACTGGGTAGTTTATTTAGTTTAAAAAAAATTATCCAACGAGTTACAGACCACTCTTTCCCAATGTAAGTCAATGGGAAAAAGTGTTTCCGGGCCCAGCAACCTAAAGGAAGTGTAGTACCGCCGTTTGGCCACAACGAATATTCTCATCAGACTCCGGCGCACTTCCTGGGGGCTTGGACTGACCCGAGCCTGGTTGTTCTGATAGATCCGCCCCTTCGCTCCAACCCCCCTCCCTCCCCCACATCTACAGGTGAAAATGACTTTTGCGACACATTTATCGCAAGAAGTGTAGCAAAAGTCAAGACCGCAGATTCGTCGATTTATACTGCCACAGAGCAGATTTGTCAAGTTGTAATGACTGATTTGAGAGGTTGTAATAACCAAGTTGCAGTTGTAATGGAAAATATATTTAAAAAATATGTATTTTTCTGCAAGTGAACATTTCATCACTAAGTTCATTTTCTTTCTACAAGCTACAAAACTTTTTTTTTCTTCAGTGACTTCAAATTTGGTTCACAGTTACGTGGATATTTTATACAAGTGTAAATTTGGTTCACAGTTACGTGGATATTTTATACAAGTGTAAATTTGGTTCACAGTTACGTGGATATTTTATACAAGTGTAAATGTATGCGCACAAGCTCAGATTTTTTTTTTCTGCAAGTGCTCACATCAGGTTTTACACGCTCTCACATTTTGCACCATATCTACCTTCATAGGTCTGCAGCATAAAGATCGGTGACACGACCACCACAACATCCAACTTCATTCGTCACTACAAAAAACCCACAGAGAAAGGTACGTGAATGTGTTCTGTTAGCTAGAAAGCTACGTTTAAGCTACGTTAGACTTGGTTTCAAATCGATTAAGCATTGCAAAGAGAAGAGAAAACGGTAAATGAACACTAGAACCGCCAAGGGATTCATTTTGACTAACCCTGATACTGACGGGCTGTCAGAGAGAGGAAAAGAGATGCCTCGTTTATTTCCCCTGTGTTATTATCAGAAGTTACTGATGTTACTTATGTTGTTTTTGTTTGTAAAAGTGCATCATTCCTTGATTTATTGTAAAATGAATCTGAACTTTTTGATCTGTTATGATGATAAACTGAAGCAATTTCAAAATTAATCCAATTAACTGAGTTTTAAATCGTCCTACTTAGTTTATAAGGAAATTATGAAGAGGAACAAATTAAATGATTTGAAAATGATATCTATGTAGGTGCTGACGCTGTTGGCGGTTCTGGAGTTAACAGAAATGTGAATTAAATGTGTAATTGCAAATGCCATATATGATTTTCTTACCTGGAATTCTGCCTTTTTGAACAGACTTTTTGAGTCCTAGCTATATTGTCTGCAGTTCTAGGGTTAATATGAATCTAATATGATTGTCATCGGTCTAAATTAGATTTCAAATGATTAACTGTGTATGTAATGAAGATCATAGTGTGGGTTGAATCCATTTTCATAACCACTGTCTTTTAACTGATTTAAATGTGGAAACTGGGCTTATTCATCAGAATTTCGTATGACTTGACTTGCTTGACCTGAGCAATGACTTGACTTGCTTGACTCTCACCACAGTGACTTGGGACTTGCTTGATACTTGTAAGTCAAGACTTGAGACTTGCTCATGACTTGCACATGTAGGACTTACTCCCACCTCTGGTAATTGGAAATATTTTCGGGACCCCCCCAACCCGGTTCCCATCTATATTGGTAGGATTAATTGTTGTAAAAACATTACATTTTCTCTGCTAATAATAAGAAGATACAAAGATCCAACTATAATTTTATATTTTATTTATGAACAAAAGTGATTGTAATAGATACTGTGAATTAATTTGGCCTAATTAAAACTGGTTGGCCTTCTTCCCTGAGTAGTCGATTTTTAAATTCAATTTTTTTTAAGGAAAATATTACTTTACCACACATAGCCTATCAATCACTTGTGTGCAGTGGCGTTTTCTCCCGGAGGCCAAGGGAAGCCAGGCTTCCCCTGTTTTTTCGGATTGTAGTTATAATTTAAATAAATAAATACAAACACTTTGTTTTGTTTCGATAATTCTCCTTTGCTGTGTGTTGCTGCCGGCCCGGCTCTCCCCCATTCTCATTGAGTATTTTACAAAGAGTGAAACAAACAGCGCCCCTCTAGATGTTATGGTGAAACAGTAGATTGCACTCCCTGTTGCGAGAGGAGGCCAGCCGAATCTAGCTTCCCTTGGTGAAAAAAAATGGAGGGATTGACCAATCAGATGAGGCCCACGTGATGCCCCTGCCAACCTGTGATTGGTCAGGGCCATGCCAAGGGAAGCTAGCCGCCTCTTGCTTCCCTTCAGAGGCGGCTGGCGGCTGGCGATTTGATTGGACACTGCCATCCAATCAAATCACATCAACATCAGTTTTAATACTGTAACTGTCATCACCGCCGTTAGAAATTATCAAGCAAATGAAGCATTATGGAGGGTGGAGATTTGGCGTACTTAATCAAACATAACTTTACTAAACTTCCGCTACAGCAGCAACTACAAATTAAATCAGATGACAGGCAAATGCCCGCACTCGAGCTGTGTGTACGCAGAGGAAAAAGGGAGAGAATCGGACGTTCAATGAGGACAATTATGTCCGCACGGAGTGGCTAACTGGAAGCGCTAAACTTCAGCGTCTAATTTGCTGGCCATGTCTTCTTTTTGACAAGGATTCGTGCTCCCTGAACAATCCTTGGGCAACTTCAGGATTCATCGACCTTGCCAGCCTGTCACGGGCAATTGAGAGGCACGGTAAATCCAAAAATCACATAGATTGTGTGATTGTCTGCATACATTAATAAGTAAAATGCTTAAATTAATAAGGAGAGAGTTTCAGCTGGAGAGTGCGTGCGGACCTGTCGGTTAGATAACAGGCGTGTGCAAGTCCTGCATCTGTGTGATACCAATGTGTGTAAAATGATACCGGGCGCTGTAATCACTCATCTGGTAAGGTTATTGACCACCCCCCGACCCAAAAAATGGGCTTCCCCTACATTTTTCCCCACGCCACGCTACTGCTTGTGTGTGCTTGCTTTCCCTTGCAGATCTTCTCAAACCGGGGCTGTTGTTTTGAGACTGCCACTCTCAGTTCATTCTCAATGTTCAGCTTTGATCTGTATTTCGTTTTGATGGCAGCAACAGCAGAAAAGCCTATTCACACAAGTAGGATGTTGCAAAAGGCAGCATTATGCCCACAGCTCTCTGACCAATGAGATATTTTCGAGCAGTCTTTGTTTACAATTGAATAATAATAATACATTTGATTTATAGAGCACACTTTATAAACAACGTCATCTCAAGGTGCTTCACAAAGCTAAAAGGAGAAAATAATACAATATAAATATCTTCCCGCGCCCCCCCCCCCTGCAGTACCTCCGCGACCCACCAGGGGTCGCGCCCCACAGTTTGGTCTAAAGTCAAGTCAAGCGTCACTTGAAAACGCATTTGTTCCAGGGACTGCCTATGATAGGAAAAAAATATTAATGTAAATACATTTTCAATGATTGAAAAATAAATAAATACCGTGATACCGTTATAGGTTGGAAAAATACCGTGATATGAGTTTTTTTGTCATAACAGCCAGCCCTAGGTTGAAGGCTGAAACACAGTATAGCTCACGACACACAGGACAGACACATTATTTATTTAATATTTCTATTCAGGAAGCCATCACATGACAATCCATTCATTTGCAACCAAAACAAAATGTTAAACAAATGCCACATTCCTTCACACAGCTCTACATAGGCGCTTGTGCAGTCTACATCATTTAACTCACTAATGGGGTGAACTCACTGCTCCCTGGGTGATACAGATGATACATTCACTTCATCAGTGCAGTTTAGACATTCAAACCATGTTAATGATGGAATGGTGTCAGGGACATGTGCTGTGTGAGTGAGGCAGAGGCCGATCAGTCGAGGAACACAGAGTTGTTATCAGTCCCAGGCCTTTTCCCACAACTCTGTGTTAGGGACGTCCACCTGAGGGTGCTGTAACAGAGGACAATTGAACACAGCACACAGTTAAAGCTTGTGAGTTTAGCCGGGAACACAGTCACACTTCTATGCAGGCAGGGGCGGACTGGGACTAAAAATCAGCCCGGGAAACTCGACCGGCCCACTTCGGTACCGGCCCACCGGGAAAACTCCCGGTATTCCCAATGGCCAGTCCGCCCTGTATGCAGGGATAGATTATCTGCATGCAAAGAATGAGTGAAGACAATAAAAATACACACTGCAACATCAAGAACGTGTTAGAATTACAACTGTTAAGTTTTCAAATTGGTTTTCAACTGTTCAAGATAAGAGAGTTGTTGGCAGAAAACACACAAGATTATGATTATATCTCACAACCCATTTTACAGATTACAATTGTGTATTTTCAGATGTCTGCTTTAAACCAGTTTCAAAAGCAGCATTACGGTCAGGTCTGTTCAGATTTCCAAAGTCCTATGATGGTGGTGGCTGACTTGTCTCTCACTCAGTCAGAAGACAGAGTATTTAAATCCTCTTCACCTGCATAGTCGGTTTCTTTTTCACGAACAAATGCACACTGTCCATGATCTTTATAAGCATTATTAAACTGGAATTGATTTAGACATTTTATTATGTAGTCCATGAGTTAATAAGGGACCCATTATCTAATAATTGAATAAAGGCATACTGGCTTTGGAGCAACTGTTCTTAGGGAACTTTTTATACCATTTTCTACCAGTTTATCATCTTCTACGGAAAGCCTTAGAGCAGTGGTTCCCAAACTTTTTCAGTCGGGCCCCCCTTGGGTAATTGGAAATATTTTCGGGACCCCCCCCCAACCCGGTTCCCATCTATATTGGTAGGATTAATTGTATATTGTTGTAAAAACATTACATTTTTCTCTGCTGATAATAAGAAGATATAAAGATCCAACTATAATTTTATATTTTATTATGGATTACACATGAACAAAAGTGCTTGTAATAGATACTGTGAATTAATTTGGCCTAATTAAAACTGGTTGGCCTTCTTCCCTGAGTAGTAGATTTTTAAATTAAAATGTCTTTAAGGAAAATATATGAATTAACTACTATTTCTACTGCAGGTTGCAAACAATCACATCACTTTACCATTCCTATTCCACACATAGCCTATCAATGACTTGTGTGTGCTTGCTTTCCCTTGCAGATCTTCTCAAACCGGGGCTGTTGTTTTCAGACTGCCACTCTCAGTTCATTCTCAATGTTCAGCTTTGATCTGTATTTGGTTTTGATGGCAGCAACAGCAGAAAAAGCCTATTCACACAAGTAGGATGTTGCAAAAGGCAGCAGTATGCCCACAGCTCTCTGACCAATGAGATATTTTCGAGCAGTGTTTGTTTAATATTGAATAATTATTAGGGCTGTCAGTCGATTAAAATAGTTAATCGCGATTAATCGCAAATTAATCGCACATTTTTGATCTGTTCTAAATGTACCTTAGAGGAATATTTTTCAAGTTTGTAATACTCTTATCAACATATGAGTGGACACATATGCTTTATGCTAATGTTTATTATCATTTGAACAATGACAAATATTCTCATGAATATTAAACACAACAACTTCTGAACATTACAAATATTCGCCTCAATTCAACCTGGAACCTAATACAATAAAAATGGTGTGTGTGTGTGTGTGTGTGTGTGTGTGGTGTGTGTGTGTGTGTGTGTGTGTGTGTGTGTGTGTGTGTGTGTGTGTGGTGTGTGTGTGTGTGTGTGTGTGTGTGTGTGTGTGTGTGTGTGTGTGTGTGTGTGTGTGTGTGTGTGTGTGTGTGTGTGTGTGTGTGTGTGTGTGTGTGTGTGTGTGTGTGTGATGGATCGTTGGAGCTATGTGCAACTCAAGGCATATGCTCGAACGGGAGCTGCCTGGACGCTGCAATCATGTTGCACTATCCGTGCTGAGTGTGCTGACTTCTCGTACAATGTCCCACTGTCTGGCTGCCTGCATAAAGTCAAGTGCTCGGCGCAGTTGTCGGCGAAATGTCGCTCCTCTGTTTTCATTTAAACAGCTCCTTATATCCGTTAGCGCAGCTAGCTAGCACCAGATGCTAACAACAACAATGCACGTAAGGTCTCTCTCTCGCTCGCTCGGGCCACACATACACACACCCTCCCGGTCCTCCCAATAGCCAGTCGGTGCCTGCCGGTGAGCGTGGAAGTGTGGTCTGCCACAAGCGGGCGGCAGGAGCGGGCTGTCAGCATCAGCTTGTAGATGGTATTTTAAACTCGATGCGCTCTGAAACTACGGGGCGGCCGAGGAAAAAAAATACACATGCGTTAATCGCGGTAAAATAATTAGTGGCGTTAATTTTTGTTTGCGTTAACGCGTTATTAACGCGTTATTAACGCGTTAACTTGACAGCCCTAATAATAATACATTTGATTTATATAGCACACTTTAAAAACAACGTCATCTCTCAAGGTGCTTCACAAAGCTAAAGGGAGAAAATAATAAAAATCTTCCCGCGACCCCCCTGCAGTACCTCCGCAACCCACCAGGGGTCGCGCCCCACAGTTTGAAAACCACTGCCTTAGAGGAAAGTAAGGAAAACTATTCTGGTGTTCCATTTTTCAAGTCTGATTTAATAAGTTTTCTCTCCTGCGTTTATAACATGCAGGAAAAAAGTTTGGCCAGGATATTCTTTCAAATTCTTTCCACATGAACGTTTTTATTTTTCAGTACCAACATTAGCTGTTGTAATACTCGTTCTAGCCACAAGAGGCTGCAGTGCACCATTTCTTACTGATTTTTTAAAGTTATTTTCTAATATTTTTACACCTGGAAGAAAACATGAATGGTTTTAGTCCTATTTAGAACATGAGGTAGTGGTGCACATTAGCCTCTTGTGGCCGAAGTCAGGGCCGACCCTGACCAATTTGCTGCCCTAGGCAAGATTTTAGCTGATTTTACCCCCCCGCCCCCCTCACTATGACTTGCGCATGCATGCCACGTGCACGGTTGTGGCATGACCACCAAAACAGAAAGATATGGACACAAGATGTGTGCAGATGTATTTAGTATCCTATCTATTTGAACATGATTTAAGTGGGGGGTGGAACTAACATCCTCTAGGGGGGTCCGGGGGCATGCTCCCCCAGGAAGATTATTATGTTTTTAATATTGAAGTTAAAAGCATCAATCTGGTGCACTTTGAGAGCAACGTTAGGAGATCTATGGATACATCTCTCAACATCCATATGAAACAGAACTGTAAGCAGATTTTCTTTTTCTTTATGGATATTTTACAAATCACTCCCCTTTCAAACTGTATTCTTGTTTATTAATAACAACTTTGTTTTACTGCCATAAAGTATCTTATACCTGTTTTTTATCTTTGCTCTTATTTTTTTATAACTATAATGATCATATAAAAGGTGTGCCTTTACCTCACTGAGCTGAGGTTATCAGAGCCGCTCAGTCTTTCAGGAGAGAGCTCTCTAAAGCTCTCCCCTCCGCGGCCGCTTACACAGTCAATTCCAATGTTAATAAAAGCATACAGAAGCTGTATGCGTTTTTTGGGAGTTTGATTTATTTTAAATTAACAGAAATACAAAATGAAAACCTATAATTGCACACAAACTATTATTTCCCAAAAATAACTATTTCACATAAACCTCTGGGGCTGGGGCAGTTCAACTTGATTTTTTGGGGGGGGGGGGGTGCGCCATAGTTTATGTGTGCTGTACGCAATATAGGCGTAGTTCCAGAGGTGGGAGTAAGTCCTACATGTGCAAGTCATGAGCAAGTCTCAAGTCTTGACCTACAAGTATCAAGCAAGTCCCAAGTCACTGTGGTGAGAGTCAAGCAAGTCATTGCTCAGGTCAAGTCAAGTCAAGTCATACGAAATTCTGATGAATAAGCCCAGTTTCCGCATTTCAATCAGTTAAAAGACAGTGGTTATGAAAATGGATTCAACCCACACTATCTTCATTACATACACAGTTAATCATTTGAAATCTAATTTAGACCGATGACAATCATATTAGATTCATATTAACCATAGAACTGCAGACAATATAGCTAGGACTCAAAAAGTCTGTTCAAAAAGGCAGAATTCCAGGTAAGAAAATCATATATGGCATTTGCCATTACACATATTTAATTAAAATTTCTGTTAACACTAGAACCGCCAACAGCGTCAGCACCTACATAGATATCATTTTCAAATCATTTCATTTGTTCCTCTTCATAATTTCCTTATAAACTAAGTAGGATGATTTAATGTGGATGTTATGGTGGTCGTGTCACTGATCTGTATGCTGCAGACCCTGCATACCGCTGTTCTCTTCTTATTACCGTCATCAACAAAATAATCCTTGAATCCAAACTTGACTATTTTTGGAGTAAAGCTAGCCGCTGCCATGTTAACTGAGACTCCTGCCTTCTAGTGGGTTGCCAGGTTTGCGTGCACGGCGCTATAATCACCCAATCAAGTTTCGAAAAAACTAAACGTAATATCTCAATACAAACGCAAATATTTAATTTTAAAAAGTCAAGTCCTTTCAAGTCATCTGTCTCAAGCTTAAGTCAAGTCATGAATACCAAGTCAAGTTAAGTCTTTTATCAATGTTAGTCAAGCAAGTCTCAAGTCCAAAAATATGCGACTCGAGTCAAGTCATGTGACTCGAGTCTAGTCATGTGACTCGAGTCCCCACCTCTGCGTAGTTCTGTAAGTATAAGTTAATAAGATGTACTTTGTTGATCCAAAATCAGGAAAATATTTTTTTTAATTTCTAACTTTTTTCTTTCTTTTTCTTTCTCCCCAATTTTCGGCGCCCCCGATGGGTTGATGCACCGTTAGCATTCGCCCTATACTGCCTATGCCAAGGGCTGGCCCTGGCCGAAGCATAACATCAACTATGTTACAGATCAAAAAAGAAAAAATAGGGAGATCATCCTAGCTATACATTTCCTATACATAATTGGAAACACAGGAAGGAAAAAAATATGGCCATTTAGATCAGACTTATTTTTTTATCAGGCTTATTCTCATTTCCCTCAATGGCATCTCAGGGCTTCCGTACATGACAATATGTAAGATAACCTGATTGTAACAGAACGTCGTTTATCACTATATCACAGTATTCATCACTCTAGGGTTTGAGTTTCCCCCAGCTCCCAAGTTCTAGCCTTAAGTCTTCTCTTAACTAGAAGAACACATCATGCAAGGTACAAAACCAAACACAGCTCCTAAAGCCTCCCACCTCCTCACTGGTAGAACTTGATCTCTGTGTCCACAGAGTCGAAAAACAAGTCCCCCAGTTCTTCTCCTGGGATCTCTCCGTTCAGCATGGCGGAGATATCGGTCAGACACTGCGACTCCAGGTCCCTTAGAATCTCATAGACAGCTAAACCCTCGTCCTGACACGGAGAGAAGAAGACAGAGTGGTGTCACAACGCCAGTAACACCAGAATTTGCATATGCTTGAACCCGGAGTAATTTGACTTAATCCTAAACTATGGCAAAGCCCCTGTTTGTAACATCACATGTATAATGCAGTTCTCACTCTTGGATTTTCCAAAGCAACCAGGCATCTGAGACACAGATTTAATGACAGCATTTATTGCTCTCCAGTTACCACACACCTTCATTTCCTCTAAAGGCTAATCTGCATATCTACATTCTTAAATTGCTCTCCTAACAACAGGCAATAGTTGTGTTTTCATTCCATACTACGTGAACAAATGAATTCCCGGAGTATACTGTTATGACAGTTAGTTTAAAAAAATCTCTGTACAAACAGGGAATGATTAAGTACTTGTACTTATATACATTAGCAAATGTTGAAAAGCCACAGCCAATCAATCTTAATTTAAAGAGAGCAAATAATTACTTTTACATTTATATTTGGAGTTTGTCGAAAAAAAGTGTATCTTGATTTGCGATTGTTTTCTTAGACTACTGTTTCCAAGGTAAATAACCAACATTTATTTGAACTTTGAAGTACAGAGATACTGTACCAAGTTCCAATAAGTGCTTTGGAAGAAATCAGTACAGCTACTAAGTTTGCATGTCAATAAATCCTGACCAAAGAAAGTAGAAAGAAAGAAACGCTGATGAATACTGTGTGATTAAATGTACAATCCCCAATAAAAGCTAGAAAATCGACTTTAAATTGGGAAACTGCTTTTGTTTACGGTCAACAACCGCATTTATATGTAAGATCACTTGATAATTTAAAAGGACGCTTGTGTAAATAATTAACATAGGAAATCTTGAGAAAAGGCAAAAACTTTTTGTTAAGTCGCAGTTAGGATAAGTCGTTGGGCTTATTCGAACTAATGCTATCAAATCCTGATAATAATCTTTTTCTACAAGCTCAGCACAGAAAAGGTGGGCCCCAGTATGGAGCTCTGCAGCAACACCTTTCTCCACTCGCCTTTCATTTATCAGCAACGACTGACCAAATGTATCCCCAATACATGCTTTTGAACTAAAATAATAATAATGTGATCTTCCAGCTGTGCCCTGATCTGCACAGGGCTATCAATGACCTAGGTCATCCATCAGTGCCCACCGGGTTGGTCTCCATGGTGCCGAGCGCCACCTGGTGGGCCTTGTACAGCTCGTGTCTGCGGTCCACCTGGCTCTGAAAGCGGGGCTGCTTCCTGACAGGGTCGTCTGGGCCAAACTGCGGGGAGACCACCCCCAGCACTGAGGTGGAACAGTCCGAGAAGACAAAAGGCTTGAATATGGACCTACCAGGGTTAGGGTTGGGGTGGGGGGGATTCATAGAGAGAAAGACAGGAAAGAAAGAAAGGCAAAAACTCCCATCAGCCCAAAGTGGAGACAGAATGGAAGAAGAGCAAAGATGAGGAGAGAAAGAGCCATTGTGTCCCAACACCTTCATTTCTCAGCTTTTCAAATGACATTCCAATGACATAAAATGACATTTGAATACTTTTTGCTACAACAGGTTAATCATTTTAATTAAGGTCAACCTTTTTTTCTTGACCTTTCACTGTCTTTTTAATTTGACTTGTTCTAATACTATTTCATTTCATTGCATTTTTGTTCAACCCAAAATAACCTTGTGGAAACAAGCCAAGTCACAACTCTTTTTAATTTCCTTAAAAAAACTGAACCTGATTAAGGGCTAATTACATTGATTTTGATATTTAAGTTTGTTTCAATGAGTGTGTTGAGTTTTTTTTATTAATCTTAGTATTTCTCTAAAAGAACTGCCCCATTTGAATCCAAAAATGTATTAATTCAATATTTATTTATTATTAGAAATCCTCTTCTTCAATTATGTTGAATTGCATGTTTTTCTGAAGACAGTTCTTCACTTGTCTTCATGTTCATCCGACCTAAAGTAACAGAGCTTGAGTAGTTACTCTGACTGCCGGAGGGAGGAGACAAAAGTTCCATACCTCAGATTGAAGGATAGAAAGATCCATGGAAATTAATATAAATTCACGGACTCATAAAATGATGCATTCATTTTAAACTTTTGTATTAATGATTACTTAGTATTTCTGAGGTGACCGCACACAATAGCAAACAGTTTGTTTATAGCCTAGTTTTAAATGTTTACTTCTAGAAATTACATTTAAGCTTAAAAAATGGAGATTATCCCGCTGAACAAAACGTGTTAGCATCATAAACGTGTGTTTTCTATAGATCTATTTTCTGCATTATTTAGAAATCCGATGCAGAAATCCAATTGCTTTTAGTTGAGGCAACCCCTGCAATGTTAACAATCATCTCGTTAAAAATACATCATCATTGCACCTCCCCTTTTATAGTTCTAAGAAATGTCTAATCTAGAGGAATTCTTAGTTAAACTTGACATACCTTGAGGGGTCTGGGGTGGCAGTGAAGAAGTGGATGCAGGGCAGGCTGCTGTCTCTGGGCAGGACAGACACCATGCTGCCTGTGGTGCAGAAACCTCCAGAGTCCATGCAGATCCCACTGGGCTTGTCCCTCAGAATGGACATCATCACCTCAGCCGTCACTGAGCCTGCAGAGAGTGGATGAATGTTACAGTAGATTGACATTTAAAAAAAGATAAGACTCATGTTCTAAGGGGGACGTCCACAGGCATTCTGGAAAAAGAAGAACTTGAGCCCTCTCACCGTCATGTTGCTGGAGTAGCTCTGTTCCGCCCCTGTAGCGCTGTTTGGCCAGCTCCATCCTGGCAGGTGGGTTCTCGGGACTAAACACCTGAGAGAAATTGAACTCTCCCTCTCCGTCCCACCAGCCCTGGGCCTGGGCCACGCTGCGCAGCTCTGGGTGCTCTGCGGACACCTCAGCACCGATGGTCAGCTGGTTGGAGATGTTCTTTACACCCTCTGAGAAAAGGAAGGGGATGTTATCTTGTAGAGATGCTTGATTTCTTTAATCTTAGCTGTTGCCTCACCTCTATTCCCCTCGCAGAGCGCAGGCATTCGACCTTGAGGTGATGCTCTCTTTAATAGTGGCTTTGTCTCCATATTATTGACTGTAATGAGTCAGGCATAAGTTGATACAGGATGTTTTCCTGGCTTTAGGGACATCTGGTAGTCCATCTGATTGAGTATGTGTCTCCCCTTAGGCAAATATATTCTTAGCAAAGGGACAGGAGTTATAGTGCTTTGCTTGTTATGTCTTGTCATGCAGAATGTTGATTATTCTCTCAGAATAAGTTAGAACTCTGCTGCTAGGGTCCACACCCGCACCAAGCCCTGGCAGCACATCACCCCTACCCTCCGTCACCTCCACTGGCTCCAGGTCTCGCATTACCTATAGCTCCTCCTCATCACCTACTTGTCCCTCCATGCCCTTTCCCCTAATATGCCTTCTGTCTCCCGTCTGCTTTCTTTGTAGTTCCAGTGTGTTCAGTCCCACAGAGTGTGTTTTGTGTTTTGTGTTTGTCCCTCTGTAAAAGAGACCTTGGGTTTATGAAGGCGCTATGTAAATGTAAGTTATTATTATGAAATACTTTGGACTGGGTTAGAGAGCTTCAGACTTGGTTGAGCAGGAGCTTTTTCACTTTGTTGCTGCAGCAAATGTCTATGTCAATTCTCCGGCTGAACTTCTAAAAAATCATCAGTGTCTGACATCAGTTCAAGCTCTCAAGTGTTCTCCCAGTCTTCCGAGTCCTTGCTCCAAATGCTATGCTCCAATGCTAATCTCCTTTTTAAGAGGGCAACATATTCAAAATGTTCCACCTTTCAGCAGGAATCATGCTGTTTATGTACACTAATGCATCTTTGTGCTATATTTGCATACACTTGTTTGTTTGTAGCCTTTATTTAACCAGGTGAAAGCCCCTTGAGATCAAAAGATCTCTTTTTCAAGGGTGACCTGCAGGACATTAGTTACACATGTAACATAAAAACAACAGAACAACAATAAGGATGACAAACAACATAATGTACAGGGTACAGTTTACTTGCAGGTTAATCTCCACTTGACAGAGTGCTTCAACCCTGATGCACGAAGGTCTGACTCTTCACCAAAGTCATAGGATCCCATGAATTATTTTACTTTTTTCTATAAGCTTTGATCTCATGTTAAAGAATAAAGAATAAACAAAGAGATTTCTTTAAGTACAGAAATATTTCATATAGATTTGATGTGGTTTAGTGTTGATATGCTTTTTAAGGCTGATTAAACTCACTCATAACTTAAGTATTTTTTAGTCCCATAAATCCTTTTAGCCTTGCTAGTGGTATCGCTTTATGGATCCCTGACTCCACCGGGTCACATTTGAATGCGTCTTTGGTTCATGTTAAAAGGCCATTATGTCTAAATGACTATTATTGGCCCTTTAGTGAGTCTACATTGTTGCACTGGGGTGCAAAGGTCCTTAGGTTTTAAAGTCAGGAAAAAAGAGCAAAAGATGTCTATGCAAATGTGAGATTTGGTGATTTTTCAATTAACTTTCCAGAAAGAATGTATGCTGCATAAACAGTGCAAATATCAAGCCACACAGCCTACAAAAATACTGTATTTGACCCCTTACTTAAAATATATCCTATTTTGGATCATTTTATCTTCATGGTGAATTAGAAAATGGTAGGTGTTCCGCCAGGCACCCTATCTGGCCCACTGACTGAATGTTCAGTTTCACTCACTACTCATGCACCTCCCACTCAGCACCCCTTAACCTTTAACCCTTTACCTGTAACCTTCTGCGCCACCCAAAGCCTGCCTGCTGTTTCCAGGACCCAGGCCTCGTTGCGGTCCACCAGCAGGAAGGTGTTGTGGTAGCTGAACGGCTCAGGGTCCTCCCTGCACGGCCCCCCCTGGCCATGCTGCTCCAGGAGGCTGGTGATGACCGTCAGCGCCCCCCAGGCACTGTCCCCTCGCTCCAAGCCCAGTCTGATGAGAACATGCTGGATTACTTTCTTTTTACAAGACACCATGTAGCAGTTAATACATTTCAGTGGTGTAAAGCAACTAAGGATATCTACTTAGTGTTTCAATTGTATGCTACTTTGTACTTCTACTCCACTACAATTCAGAGGTAAATGGTGTACTTTTCCTCCACTACATGTATTTAATACCTTTAGTTACTTCACAGATTTGGATTAATGATGTGAAATATAATCAAGTGTTGAATCAGACTTTAGTTCCACCTGGAGTAAATCCACCAGCTACCCTGCAGTATACAAAGTCATTGAAACTAGCTGCACCTTTACCAGCTTTGAGAACACTTTCAAGATCAATCATTATAAAACATATCATATATTATTCTGAAATGGACCAATCTGCACAACGACTACTTTTACTTTTGGTACTTGAAGTTTATTTTGATGCTAATACTTTTCTACTTTTACTTGAATAACATTTTGAATGCAGGACTTTTACTTGTAACAGAGTATTCGTACACTCTGATACTTTGTTTTACTTAAGTACACGATCTGAGTACGTCTCCCACCTCTGATAAATTCTAAATAAATGGTAACAATTCTTTCATTTTATCTAATTGTACTTTTTTATGTATTCAGTCTTTTTAACCATGAGGACCGGTTGAGCTTGTTTCTGCTGTTCAGACGATCCTCTGCGTATTTTTTCGAGGAAACGGTATCTGAGAATCACTTGGCAACATTCCCTATTGGTTAACTATTTTCATACACAGAGATGAATAGATTAGAACTCCTTCATGTTCTTACCACACCTGTCATAACAGGCTCCTGACAATCTACACACGCTTCTGATCAAAGCGTCAGAGGATCAAGTTAAAAGGTCTAATGAATGTCCAATATTTAAACTGTATATAATTAGAACACAGTTAATAGTTGCTTTAATCAGCTTTGAAAATTGATATTTCTTTATTGCCTAAATCGCTTTGCTGTTCATTATTATTATTATAATTTTTGAGATGTGTCTTCATGAAGTCTTCAAAGTATTTCCTTCAATACAATAATTCATTTAGTTTCTAAACCAGTATACGGTGAAGAAAAGGAAAGCATGCTCAGTATTTTGGCCCCACAAAAAACCCATTAAGGTTGTATTTTAGTTTATGTAATTGCAATATTCAATCCATCCAGCCCTGCAGCATCAAAAGGGTTCTCACCTGACGAGGTCCATGCCCAGTAGAGCCTCTCCGGGGCTGACGGCCTCTCGGGTCCAGACAGCCTCGTTCCCGATGCACACTCCCTGGTCATTGGCTCCCATCTCTGCACCCCACATCCAGGCAGGTTTACTGAGGACGACAGCGTGGGTCTGCTCCACCTGAGGGATCTGGATGTATGTGCACTGAGGGAAAAAAGAGCGAGTGAATGAATTGAAAACCAGAAAAAATAATGGTGTTGTATAAATCAAGGTATGTAGGTATACATTGCACAAACACTTACACTAATTAAATCAAACTTTATTTTTATAGCACTTTCGACACACAAAGTTAGCTCTAAGTGCTTCACAAAACAAACAACATTTTAAAAGCAATGTATTTCTACTGGTAATGTGTTTCGTGCCTGCAGCACGTCTTTTTCTCCGGTCGAGTCGTGGAAGACCGGAAGCTGTGTGGTTCATAAAAACATGTTCTTACTCAATATCAAGCCACAATTATTGCTTTTATTTTAAATCGTATAATTTCGGACTTTTGTTGCCGTCTGTGAGGAAAATAAATGGGGCTCAGAGCCTCAGAATACTGAAATCTGTATTTTTTAAATCTTTTTTCCTTCTAATTTGTTATTCTTTTCAAAATAACACACTGTTATTTACTCACCAATAACACACAATTATCCTTGCTTTTATTTATTGGTTTAATTCCATAATCTCGGGCTTTTTTGGCGTCCGTCAGGAACTGAATTTCAAAATAAAAATAACCGGAAACAGACGTAGGCCTCTAGGAGTTTAGGATGGCCGAAGACACTACACTACCCATAATCCCCAGCTATCGTTTAGGACTACAGTCCCCGTGATTAATCTTCAAGCACTGGGATTGGATGTTGGAGTGGCAGTGCGCCAAGGTTACGCGAGCGTCAAACAGCTGTGTGAAATGGAACGAAACCACGCCAGACTATCCAAAACTGGAATCTAACGACCCCCCAGAATTACACATGCTGGCTATTGTGTTTCGCAAAATGTTCTATGGGACGTCTCTACTGAACGTTTTCGTTTTTCCCACAATTAGAAGTTGCCAGTATTAAACACATTGGTGTTATCAAATGTAAAACATAATTAATAAATGGGTGAAAATCGCTTGTGTCCATAATGCGCAGCATTATACCCACATGACAGCTCATTGATACTTTGTAATTCTACTCCACTACAATTCAGAGGTTAACCTGGTATTTTACTCCACTACACTTAGTTGAGTTACTTTGCAGATTCTGATTAATGATGTGAAATATAAACAACCCTTAAATCAGACTTTAGTTACACCTGAGTAAAATTCAGGGAAAGTGCCAACAATCAGGAGAGATATTTGATAGTTGGTGCTTGAGAAGACTAAACATTTATCTGCAATTGACATGAATGGAAACGAGTAATAAAGTATATTCATTACTCGTTATTCTCTACTAATAGTTAATTAAAGACTGTATATAATGGCTATTTTGCACATCCCTTTCAAGATTTCAAGATTTTCAAAGGTTTATTGACATATCATATACACAACTACGGTGTAGTTATGCAATGAATGAAAATCTTGGGTCACAGGTTCCTCAACAGCGCATTACAAGACATCTATCAATATGTGTGTGTACCTCCACCATTAAATATTCTGCACATTTCTTATACTATCTACATACATAAGAGTATAATTCATATGTATAATATCAGTTAAAATAAGTGCTTCAACATAGTTAACATTGCAGGAAAGAAATATATTAGACGTTAAGTACTTTGTCAGGCTTAATATTTATCTGTAGATAGATGCCCCCAAAGTTTTTTTCTTATTTAAAAGAAGACCTTAATCTAAAGTATTATTTAATGTTTAAATAAAGGTTCATTCGTTTTTCTGTTTTGCACCTCCTCCTATTAATATCTTTGTACATCCTGTACTAAACTGTTTTATTGTAGAGATCACTTACAGTATCTTCTTGATTTTTTATATTCTATATTTCTATCACAGACCTTCTACTTTCCCCCTATTAAAGTATGTACTCTTAATATTTTTTTAATCAAATATAACACATAAAAACAATAATTCAATAACGTGCTTTAACCACTAGGCGGTGCACACAAGGTACACACAGCCATAATAACTTTGTATTATTAGTGTAGGACACTTATGTATGTACAACATCTGAAGATGTGTAATTTTATTCATGTTTTTACATAATTTTACAGCATATTGCTATACTATTTCAGACTCAGTATTTACATTCTTATATTCAAAGAAAATCAGTAATATCTTTAAAAACTACAAGTCCTTTTATATCAGCTCTGCACCGTTATGGTGTAAATATAACCTATCTATGAATTAAATCAAATGTAAAAGTCAGCCGAATTAGTGTTGATACTGCAAGGAGACGTATTGTGTGAAGAGAAATTGAAGATGTTGTTTAATTGTTGATATATTTATGATCCACGTCAAGTATTCAGTTTCGGCGGCAAGGTCTTCTCATCAGGGCTCTATAAATAAAGAACTACGGCAGATCTGTAATATGTAATGCAGCCGAACCGTGTATTACAATGCCGTTATGTGATGACTTTCAAAGAGAAAAGCAAGAACACTCGGAATTAAGTATTTTTTAAAAATGTTTTCCGGATTTCATATCATATAAACACCAAATCCCAGCATGCATTGCGGCTAAAACATCCAATCAGCGAGCTTAAACCATAGCTGAGGATCTTGGGTAATCGCTCGAAATGCCTACGTCTGTTTCCGGTTATTTTTATTTTGAAATTCAGTTCCTGACGGACGCCAAAAAAGCCCGAGATTATGGAATTAAACCGTTATATATACAGTCTATGAATTAAACCAATAAATACAAGCAAGGATAATTGTGTATTATTGGTGAGTAACAGTATGTTATTTTGAAAAGAATAACAAATTAGAAGGAAAAAAAGATTTAAAAAATACAGATTTCAGTATTCTGAGGCTCTGAGCATTTATTTTCCTCACCAAAAGTCCGAAATTATACGATTTAAAATAAAAGCAATAATTGTGGCTTGATATTGAGTAAGAACATGTTTTTATGAACCACACAGCTTCCGGTCTTACACGACCCGACCGGAGAAAAAGACGTGCTGCAGGCACGAAACACATTACCAGTAGAAATACATTGCTTTTAAAATGGTGCTGTGCAACACGAAAAAAGGGGAAAATCTTGTTGGTGAACACGAATCAATAGATTAAAAATCGTGTTGGTGAACACGAAATGCCATGAGTCTGGGTTGACAGTCAAGATGGTGGCAAAGATAAAACAGACGGAGATTCCAGTGGCGACTGGTGGAATTGTTTCTAGGTAGGGCTGTGCCACATGCAATCAATTTCAGCAAACATCCCAGTATGACTCAATGCAAAAAAAGTGTTCAGTGTTAATTTACCAGCAGGGTTACAGTGTTACAACATATTTTAAAATAAAGAACGAAATATTATAGGTAGACTGTAGACGTAACTATAAACTGCCTACATTTTCTTTATGGTTTAAATCTAGGCTATTTTAATTATTCTTTATTTAAATGCAGTAGGAAAACACTTGATTTATTAAACAAAAATACTGTGTGTATGCTTTTAATTCATGTGTTAAACAAACACCTTTGTAAACTATACTATTCTGTTGGCCTATATTTTAAGAGGACACATTTTTTATTCTAAATATCTTGGTTTCTTCTTTGATGTTGTTCTGTTGTCTTACATTGACACTTAAGTAACACACATTGATGCTTATTTTCTCTTGTATTTATTTGCATTGCATTTGATATTGACGTAATCCAGTAACAGGAAGTAACAGAAAGTAATCAGGTTACATTACTTTTATGTTTTGATACTCAGATTAAGTTACTGATTACATTTACATGTTTTAAGTTACTTAATACATTTTAAAAGTAACCCTCCCAACCCATGGTGAATCCCCTGGTGATATAGGAAACATAAAGGGTTAGTTTACCAAAACAAGAAGTACACTTTTTTTATTCTCACTTACCACTGGTGGTTTTTGATTATCTTTCATTTGGGTTCGTAAGTACAACACATCTTTTATTATTGGCAACAGGCTTTAAGTTAGCAATAAACCATTACGTTTAACCAACATAACATCCTTTAACTACTTAGGCGGAGACAGTAATCCCTGAGAAAGATAGGTCAATACTTGGACAAAGAAAACCAAAACTTCAAGACTAGATAGCAATAAAGATATGATTAATGCCACTGCGTCTCTTGCATCAATATCAGTACCAAGTCTGTATTTCTTCCACTTCTTAACACTGTAACACAAACTTTTGGTAAAAGTGAGAAAGGAATAAATTAGTTGGTTAAAGTGTTCGGTTCCTCTCCCTTAAACATTCACAGAAGAAAATGTTTCTCTTCAAGTCTCCTGTAAATATTTGAACAGCCTTTGACAGTGTATTTGTGAATAGTAATGCATTTATAGAAAATATATGATTCAAATCTATGATTTTTCATTCATATTTATTTTCTGCTATACAACAGACCATGGATGATGCAGTTCATAAACCAAGGTGTGTAATTTCCAAGTGAAAAACAGCAAAACAAAACTGTAGAAATACTCAGTTACAAGTTAAGGCTGTGCAATCAAAATTGGACCGATGTAAAAAAAGTATTAGTATTCAAAAATACTAAAAGGGCCAAATGTAAAAGTACTCGTTATATAAAACAGTAATGTTTAGTAAAAATATGTTGTAATTAGTGTGTGTGTGTGTGTGGTGTGTGTGTGTGTGTGTGTGTGTGTGTGTGTGTGTGTGTGTGTGTGTGTGTGTGTGTGTGTGTGTGTGTGTGTGTGTGCAGGAGACTACCTCCAGCATGGAGCCTGGAGGGTGGGGGGCTGCAGGGTGGTAGCCCACCTCCTGCACCTCATCCCGGGGACGGTCTGAGTTCTTCCCAAAAATAACATGGTCATCGCGAGAGCCAGGAGGCAAGGAGACAAAACAATCACATGACCTGGGTGGTTCTGCCATCCTGTGACGAAAAGAGAAAGAACAACATAATGACATACAAATCATGTGTGCTGAACTACCTCATGTAAACAACATGACTTCCTTATCACAAGGCTTTGAAAACGCATCCACACAACAGTAAATGAAGAGCCCCCCTACACCCCACCCAGCTTTTTGCAGAAAGTCAGATCCAGCCGGTGCACTGCCCATCCCTTTCACACAGGGATTAGAAGCAGCACTGTATTGACTGTAATCTTCACAAATCCCTCCGCCACATTGCTCTATTATCGCTCTTGTCTCGCATTTGCGACCATGAATCGCTTAGCAAACCGGAAATACTGTCGCCGAAAAGTGCGTTGCTCGCAGATGTAGCTGTGTTTGTTGTGAACAGTGTTTAATGCAGATTAGGCCTAACTGTCCACACTGTCACTGTCCGTGTCACTCCGCGGAGAGCAGCCTGACGCTTCGTGTCATTCCGCCTGTCTCTGGGGGTCGGGTAAACAGGGTGGACTTTAATGTATCTGTGAGATAGAGCTAGTGTATGAATGCTGCTGTTGTAAATGTTTACCTTTGCAATGGTGCGAGCGGGCGGTCGGCTGAGAGAAGGCAGGCTGGAGATAGTGGTCACGTGACCAAGAAATCCAAAGGTGTGTACTTAAAGGTCTCGTCTCGTCTGGCCACAAGTAGACTGTTCATCTGACACTATGCAGATCACTGTCTGCCTCTCACAGCGCTGGAGGAGTACTCATATCTTGTACTTTAGTCAAAGTAGAAGTACCAGAGTGTAGGAATACTCTGTTATATGTAAAAATCCGGCATTCAAAATGTTACTCGATTAAAAGCACAAAAGTATTAGCAAAATATACTTAAAGTAGGCTACCAAAAGTAAAATCAGTAGTGTACAGGAACTAAGTATATTTATTAAAGTACTGTACTTAAGTACAATTTGGGGGTACTTGTACTTTACTTGATTATTATTATATTATTATTTTGTTTAAATTGTTTGCTACTTTGTAGCCTACTTCTACCCCACTATATAATTCAGAGGTAAATGGTGTACTTTTACTCCACTATATTTATTTAATACCTTTAGTTACTATGAAGATTTGAATTAATGATTTGAAATATAATCAATATTTAAATAAGACACTCTGGTACTTCTACTTTTACTTATGTACACGTTCTGATACTTCTCCCACCTCTGAGTAAAAGTAGGCCTACTCGTTGCGCATATTGGTCCATTTCAGAATAATATATATGATATGTTTTATAATGATTGATCATGAAAGTGTTCTCAAAGCTGGTAAAGGTGCAGCTAGTTTGAATGACTTTGTATACTGCAGGGTAGCTGGTGGATTTACTCCAGGTGGAACTAAAGTCTGATTTAACACTTGATTAGATTTCACATTATTCATCCACATCTGTGAAGTAACTAAAGTAGTGGAGTAGAAGTACACCATTTACATCTGAATTGTAGTGGGTAGAAGTACAAAGTAGTAAGAAATTGAAATAATAGTAGTAAGAAATTTAAATAATAAAAATTCGCCTTAAGTACAGTACTAGAATAAATCTATTTAGTTACTTTTCACCACTGCTTACAGGAGTTCAGTCACAGCCTGCAACACGGTGCTGCTGTTCTTCAGGAGTCTGCCCCCCCCCCCCCCCCCCAGAGCTCACACTGCTTATAATGCTTAAAAAAAACATGTACATATTTGACTTCTTCCTGACTTTTAGTAGCCCATATTGTATGCTGCACTGTTGGAGGAGATTTTCACTGTCAACAATGTAGCTGTAGCTATTGTGCATATGACAATAAAACCTTTGAATAACGTTGCACTTGCAATCTATTCCAGGTGGGATACAGTTGGCTGAAGAAGTAGATTTTGCTCAGTTTCTGCTCTTACACCACACCACCACCACATGAATTACATAAATAAGGTTAACGAGAACTCAAATATGAAACTATAACTATATAATCTGTTTCATGAGGTGGATATGGTTTTTCATATTCTGGGGCCACTGTCCCGATCACAGTCTCCCTCTTACAGGAGTTCAGTCACAGCCTGCGACGTGGTGCAGCTATTCCTCAGGAATCTGCTAATTCATATCCTATACTGCTCTTAATGCTTATCATCTATTTAAAATGTCCATAGTGTATTTATTCCTGCAATTTATTTGCACCATTGTGCACTATTGTATGTCTTTAGTATCTTGTACGTTCCACTGTTGTAGGAGATTATTTTTGCCAACAATGATGTTGTAGCTATGTGTATATGGCAATACAACTATATATCTTTGAATAATGTTGCAATCCACTGAAGTTCATGGGAAACAGTTGGCTAAAGAAGTGTATTGGGATTAGCTTCTGTTCTTAAACCATGCACTCCACCACCACATTTAATATATAAAATAAGATTTAAAAAAAGAGAAGTAAAATATATAATAAGTGTCAGAAGGAAGATAAATACCAACCAAAGGGATTGTTTATAACTTAGCATCTTATTAACGGCTTTTAAGTGATCAATTAAAGGCATTACTAAAATGTGTTTGTCATTAATAAAGCTATTGTTTAAACCTTTCAACTTAAAGGTGGGGTAGGTGATTCACTTCAGATACACTTTTTGTTATATTCCATGGAATGCTCTTAACATCCCGATAGCAATGAATACATGAAATGCTTTGACAATAAATATATACAAATATTTAATCTGTGGAAGCCGTGGCGCTGCAAAAAGCACGACCAATCATCTGCCTTGGCCCGCGGCAGATAACTGGATGGCCTACCTGCCTGTCAGCCTTCCATCTCGTGCACAAACTTATCTCTTGCCCTCATTGCGTTCGTGTGTTGGAGGAGGGGCTCTGTAAGGAAGTCTGAAGGAAGGGGCAGATTTTGTTCGGTTGTGTACTTTCAAATTATAGCGCACTCGAGCTGGTTTCTCCATTCTTACCTACCTTTAACATGGTTCCTATATGATAGAGTATTGGATTCTATCATTTTTGTTTTTTTACTGATTTTCATCAACTATGCTATAATATAATCTATATATGATATAATTAGTTTTACAGGGGCCTTAGCAACATCTTTCCAGGGACTTAATATAAAAATAGCCTCTTGGCTTACTCTGGTGCAGTTAAATAAATAAATAATGCTGCATTTTAGGAAATGTAACATTTCATCAAATATAAATAATCAATGAATTACGACAACATGTGTTATTCAGTATAGTAACTTAGTAAATGTATTTACTATACATCTACTGATCATGGGTCTTTAAAACAACTCTTTGACACAGACTGAAAACGGTAAAAGAAACATGGATCTGCAGATATAACTTGATCATTTTGTAATGAACCTAGTACAATTCTGCAGAATGGCTAGACATTTACTGCAAATAACCCTATTCAATACATCGAATTGTGTTACTTTTGAGGTATTAATGAAACTTTCAACTAGCTATTTAGTAGGACACTTGTTTGCAGCAATTTGCAAAATAAAGATGATGTGTCTTTTTTTTTCTTTTTAAGAAGTCACAGTTTTTGTACTATGAAACTACACCAGGATCACATGTTGGCTAATCAGTGTAATTAAAGTTGGGCGAATTCCTGTTTGTCAGTGGGTTTATGGAGTGGGTGTGTCCTATCGCCGGTGTTTCATTGAATTACTGTATGTTGTTGACACTTCCTGTCTGTGGGCTCAGTCTTTCCAGACACTTCCCAAAACGGTTCACCTGCTCTTTGCATTGATCAAATCTAAACTCCACTTAATCCTGCAGAGCTTTGAAAAGGTCAACCACCCAAACTACGATCAGACACTTTTTCTTCTTTAGATCTGGTGGTTCCTAGTAATGTATTATTATATTTTCTCAAGTCAAATCCAGTGAAGGCGAATACGTCTTCTTCAAGCTGCTAACATTATTTAACATGTTCTCATGTCTTCCATGACCGGAGTCCCTGCTTCTTTCGATGGTCATATTTGTCTTAGAATGTAATGTATCTTCAGTATAAAGAAAGTCCAGTCAAAACGGTGCGTGTGGACACAGTTTCTGTATTGACACATTCAATCATTTTAATGCCATTTAGTGTTTTTTGAACTTTTTCAACCAACTTTCTTTCAAATTCATTTTCAGCCATACAAAGCTCATTGTTTCTAAACAGGCTGAAAAAACAACTAATCTAATCAAAGTTTCAAAGTCAATCACCAAAAGTTAGCTACTAGCTAGTAGTCATTGTAAAGTATTTAGCTGCTAAAGAGCTAGCATTTCAGTCAGGAGTTGGTGGAGACCACAGAACAGCTTCGGAGAATTTCCACATTATGAATGTATTCCTTTGGCAAGAAGTCAAGTTGCACTTTGAACCTATGTCTGTCCAAAATGTCATCACTTCATCCTCGTTGTTTAGAATTGCTGAACATAGCTTATACATTTTTTAGGTGTGGCCAGAAACGTGTTGCGATGTCAGAGTGACCTTGACATTGGGCCACCAAATTCTAGCAGTTCAAATCCAAGTAGCTGTTTGAAGCTAAGGTGCTCCCGAGATATTGCGTTTACAAGAACAGGACGGAGGTGAGGTCAAAGTGACCTTAACCTTTGACCCCACAATTTAATCAGACCATCCAAGAACACATTTCCAATTTGAATACATTTCTGGCCACTGCTAATTCCAGCATAGATTTTTGAAAGTTTGCGAAAAATCTTGTGACACTTACACATACGTCCACACTACAGCGTCGACAGCGTGGACAGCTTCAATCTGCCCATTCACTTTGAATGGGGTGACGTCACGTTGCCTCGCTTTTTCGCCGAACTGAATTGTGGGTAGCATAGCGGTCCGTCTCCGCCGGAGACGCCGGAGTAGCCAGTGCCAGCCAATCAAATCCCGTTTCGGAAAATCTGACAGCTCAAGCCGTAGCCAATCAAACCGCGTCTAAGCTGGGAGAGATATCCCGCCGTTCATTTCTATATTTCAAAAAAATATGGAGGAGAAACTAATTATCGCCGTAGCAAATCACCCGGTTTTGTATGACCAGACCCTCTTCACCTACCGGGATACAAACCGGAAGAACCAGTCATGGAGGGAGGTGGCAGAGACAGTGGGTGAAACTGGTAGGTTTTCGCCTGTTTGGGGAGTTTATATATATATATATTGCTCCCATAAAATCCCCGGGGGTTTTTGCTTTGTATGTCGGGGGCGGGAGATTCATGTGATTGGTTGTTGGTCGCGTTGCTTGAATAACATCCCCAAGCTTCAGACACGCCCAGCTCCAAGCTTTTTTTAAAGCTGTAGTGTGGACGCTCCGTTACTGCCTCACAAGATGACTGCCGACGACTCATCTCAAACACAACTACAAAATGCCTTTCCCTAAATATCTTACAAGAGTTTTGCAAATTGGAGGTTACCATTTAGACATCTGTGGTTTAGGTGTGCATAACAACAAAGAGAGGCAACTCTGCGACCAAAAAACATTGTTGGCTCATTAAGAGGTTAGCGTAGATGGTGTAGCATCATTTATATCAGAACTGGAGAGTATTATTTCCCTGGAAGAAGAGAAAAGAACGGCA